AGCATTGAAAATCCACGTTGGTTTAGACGACCAATTTACATGACGCGCGCGCTCTGCAAGTTAGCCCAAATGCCCCTTCAAGTCAACTCTGCTCCTTTCTCCTTTTCTCATTGCTTACATTCTTCAGCTCTCAAACAATGTGCAATTTCATTCATTCAATTAAAGAGCCACACAAATATGAACGCGTCTACTTCATTACGAAGAAATTGCTTTTGCCTTGGTCTTGTAGCCCTCTTTTTTTAATGAGCCATATATAGTATGTTCATCACGGAAGTCAAATGTGGTTGTGGCGGTGGGACATTATTGTGCAATCCCTAGTTTCTTTTTGTTATTCAGGCTTTAATGAACACGACTGCATCGTCTAGTTTCACTTCATTTCCATAATAAGAAAGTAAACTTGTCATCTCATATTGAACACGTCGAACCATCTTTTAGCTGAAGCCGTTTTATTTAACTGATCGATACGGGCGTAATGTGGTCCTTGTGTCTACGGCACATCAAACAATTGATGCCATTTCTTGCTTGCCTTAGCATCCACGGGCTGGAATCTACTGATTAGATTTTTCTTCACTTCCCCTCGAACCATCTTAACCCGTCCATTGTAGCTGTGTCTGGGTTAGGATCTACAGCCCCACCTACATGATGCCTGGGCTATGACAAAGATTTAAAGAGATCGGACTCGGATAACCTGGTTAGTAAACAGGCTGGGTATCAGTCAAGGTCCTCGATCTGTTAAATAAACTTGTAGCTTATGGATTTGACATTTACGGATCGACCAGTACCTGACCTGATTCCTACTCGTTCTGTCCAGCCTGATCGCAAAACGCATGAACTCAGAACACATAACAACAACAACAACAACAACAACAACAACAACAGTAGCATCAACAGAAACAAAAACGATTATCTACCCTCGCCAAAACAACAAATACAGGTTCAGTTTTTCTTATTGCATTTATGTTTCAATTTGATGGGTTTCACCACTAGTATGTATCTACTAAACTTCCTTCCCCATCCTTCTCATAGAGAGTCAAAGAAGGCAAATTCCAGATAGCGAATAAGCAGAACATGATTTCTCTGCTTTCAGAGTAAGCAGCAAATGAAACCTACACCTATCAAGCATACTTACGAGGTTTGAAAAAATTTCGAACTCAGTTTGAAAATTTTCTTAGCACAGAATCTCCATTTATAAACCCTAACCAACTTGATATGTCAATTTCCCCATTTCCACTTGAATTAGAATAAGCTCGGTAGCCTCAGGAATGACCTCAACCTTACCTTTTATGTTATTGATTGACAATATGAGTGTTCTTCCAGGTTTATTGTTTTACAGTTTATTCTATAAATCTCAAATAGGAAAAATCTTCTGGATACTGAACAACGGAGCAAAGAAGAACATCAAAGAGGTAAGACAATTTTCACATTACTATTGCTCTGCTTAGAGGGAAGAATTATTGTCTTTCTCGCACACTTCTGTTCATAGACCACAATTTGCTGAATATTCTCTTGGGCTTGTTGGGGATGGAGCACAAAGCTTTGAACCTGGTGGAAGAGCTCCTCAGTAGTCCATTTCTGTGCAGGATATCATCTTCGATGTCATTATCAGCTTCTTCAAGCTTCATTTTCAGTGTTTCAAGATTTGCTGTCGGGTATTTCAATCCTGAGATGCTCCAACTGTCACCCAAATGGCTAGCTGTTGCCATGGGCCGATGCGTTGCTGCTTCTTTGTCATCATCTAAGTCGGAAGTTGTAGCAAGAAGTTGTTTGATATTATTTGGTAGCTCATTCATTTGGCCTCCAGGCACAGCAGCAGCACGCGCCTGTTCAAAGAATAGAACCTGCACAACCACTCTCAGTGGCAGCATATCATTCTGAGCAGCGTGCACGCATGCTTCCATCGATAGCTTCTTGCAGTTCAATATTCGGCACAGTTTCTTTCTTGCACTCTTGTTGAGCTCTGGATGTGCCTGATTTTGTCAGCAGACAATCAAATAGTCAGATAGATTTCAGAATGATATCAACCTTAACCATAGAGTATGGACTAGTGGGGTAATTTACTTACTCTGAGGTAAATATCAATGACTTTGTAGAGGTCATCATGATCGGTCCTAGCAAAATCTGGCACAGCTTCAGCCAATGCAATTACCTTCTCCATCGGCAAATTTGCATCCCTGGCAATCTCTTGGAGGTAACAATCAATAAGCTTGGCTACCCTCAACTTCGAGCTATGGGAAGCTGAAGAAGACCTCCGGCTGTTGTCATGGCCCTCAAATTCTACATTCTCAGCAGACCGCGACCTTCTCCTCTCATATCCAAACCTTCCTCTTGGAGGGCTTGTTGGGGGGCTCTGGCCTTGTAGCAAGAACTCCTCCAATATTGTCGTCACTATATCCACATCATACAGAGTTTCATCCACATAAGACAGCGACGGAATCAAGAGATCGCTTACAGTTGCTTCCTCCAATTGCAATCCGACCCTCCTTGCTAATTCCAATTTTGAAGATGGAGAAGCATTGAGAACGTTTGCAGACTTGAGAAGCTTAAGCAAGAAACCGCAGGGCAAAGCACCCTTGTCTGACGGCAACAGACTCACTAGTTTCTCCAGAATCAACCTGTGCTTCATAGTGATCTCCCTGAGGCTGAGGGACTCTGAACAAGGATATTCGGGCATCTGATTACTCTGCTGTCCATCTCTCCACATATTCGGAAGCCATCGAAAGGCATAGACCTGCAAAGCCTCTCCGCCCACCATCCTTTGTTGTAACGAGACCAATCGTCCCTTGAAGGGTGTGCGGTGATCTTTGAGGCAAGGGCATCGACGCAGCGGCCAGTGATTCCAAGCTCTTCGCATAGAGGCGGGTACTGTCTTGTTCCCTGGAGCGTCGTCAGCGAATCCTTCCACCTACGAAGAATGCAAGACTTGAAGAACACCTCAAGCTTTCCCACGAGATTACCCTTGTCGAGCTCATCTCTCATTTGAAGGTAATCAGCAGCACATCTCACCGTCACGAAGTTGAGGGCACTGAGAGTGATGGTGATGCCATAGCAGAATTTTGTGCAGACTTCAAAGGCCTCTGCACCCCCTGGGATCTCTGAGAGCTCGATGATCATGTCGTCGGGGGAACCTTTCCATTCGGAGCAGAGAGTACGCAAGCGCAGGCATCTGGAGAGTAAAGGGAACTGCAAGCGATAAAAGCATTAATTTTAGAGAATTAATAGAAGGGGGAGAAGGGATGGAATTAGCTGCAGAGAAGAGATCGGGCGCGCACCTTGTGGAGCAAATATAAACTGTTCTGGACTTTGATTTTGATATCAGTAGAGACCTCTGAAGAAACTGACCTGGATCAACGCAACGGACACCGTATCGAAAGATAAACAGGGGAAGAATGACATAACAAAAAAAAACTACGAGAAAGGTTTGGTGAAGCGATCGATGGGTCTCCATACCTTATAGCTTCCGCGGTGAAGAAGGTGTCCGGCCTTGTTCCGAGCTTCATGAACTTCATCCTGGACCAGCTATAGGTTCACAGACTTGGTTCTTTTGTGTGTGTGTGTGTGTGAGAGTGAGAGGGGGAGAGAGCTCTCACTTTTTTTTTGGCTCGCGATAACTACTGCGGAGACAAAGTTATAGTAAAGCTCGCCCTCTCTTCTTTGCAGGTCCCCTGCTCGGTGTGTTGATGATATAAGCGGACGAATCCGAGGAGGAGGGGTGGGTGCAGCGCTGAGGTTTGGTTGAGACTCGAAGAATTAGGTGTCGGGATGCTCAGTCCCCTGCTTCTACAGTAAACAGCAGCTACAGATGCGGCGTGGAATATGTACGCCTACTTCAATCCCTTCACCTTCAACCAAACATGACTACTTCTGCTATTAGAGAACCAACACGGAAATATGCTTCTTATTTCCTTCCAGGTGTCTTTTTTTTAAAATAATATTTCCTTCTCTGATTAAAGCTGTATCTTCAGAGGAGCTGCATCCGTCACCATGTGATGTATTCTAATTCCCCCCCTGGCTGTGATATCTTTGCTTTTTTTTTTTTTTCATTTTATTTATCTTGATCGATCCTCCCCTGGCTGTGTACGCTTCTGCGAGGCAATCAAAGCTAATTTGCTTTACAAATAAGGGTGGGGGAATATGATGAGGTGTGGTCCCTGGGCCTTAGAAGATGCGCCCCGCCAACACCCCTTTTATGATTGATTTGATGACACCCAACATCGGTTGACGGCTCCACTTGTCGATCGCCGATCAAGGCTTCCTTCTGTTTAATTCCCTTTCTATGTACAGGAAACTAGATCGGGGTTTTGTTGGATCGAGCGACTGCGGCTGCTTACTTCTTCCGAGGTGGAATGTGATCATTGCTGGGCGCTACTCCAGAGGAAAATTCGACGAGCCCAAAAGTTTCTTCTTTCTTTCTAGGCGTTTGTGCTCCTTGCGTAGATAAAGAAATAATAATAATAATAATAATAGGAAGCCTTGGTGGTTAGCTTGTGTAGATATAATATATGCTCCTTGCGTTTATACTCGAAGCATCACTTCAGGACATCCAGAATGCTTTGTAATAAGTTGATTCTGGTTTGATCCCCATCACATGCTCCCTGGTACGCGCATGCTCATTGCTTACTCATAATAGAGATTTGATTCCTGACCTTGTCTTACATATGGATGCGTATCCGCAATGTACGCCTAATTAATCAAAGTAGCATTGGGTAATATCCGGGGCTACGTTGTTGAACCCCTTCAACATCAAAAACGCAGTATAGAGAAAATACACCAAGATTTACGAGGCTCGACAAGCTTGCCTACGTCCTCGGGAGCCACACAATTAATTTCTTATAAATCAACAAGAAATTACAATACAAGAACGGATCTCAAACTTGAGATCCCTCAATAAATACAAATCAATACTGTAGCTACAGTATTGATCCCCTCTTCAATTCTCCCTCAAAATTTTGAGAGATGGGAAAAGAACCCCCTCTTTCTTAACTTCCCCTTTAAATTCCCTTCTTAATCAAATCCCCCTCCCCTCAAATCTTTGAGAGAACGCTGGAGAAAAAGAAGAGAGCAGAGAGTGAAGGTCGTCGCCGCCAAGGGTTTGAGATCAACAGAAGAGAGAGAGAAGAAGCAACCCACACTCGTGTTCAGGGTTTCCTTATAAGTTTCCCTTTTATAGGGAAACCCTAGCGACAGGCTGGCGACAGCCTGTCGCTGGAGCTCACCTGAATCTCTTCGAGCTCGCCTGCTTCAACCGCGAGCTCGCATTGCTTCAACCGCGAGCTCGCATACGTCGCCCGCGTTCAAGCTCGCCTGGATCTCGAGCTCGACCTCACCAGAGTTTCACGACCTCGCCTGCAGCTCGCCGCCTCGCGCTCGCCTACGACCCCGATCGACCTCGCCTTTATCGAGCTCGCCCGCTCTTCGTCGATGACCTCGCCTGATTTCGAGGTTTGGTCTTCACACCCAAATCCAACAAATCTCCCACAAAGAGACTGAACCGTCGTCAGCAGGCTATCTCAACAAGCACTTACTCCTGTGCGGCTCCGCCCTCATCACTTATGCATGAAGGCTAACTGAAGTTGTGCACAACTCCAGTTTCTGAAAGGTCGCTGCCTTTATCAACATATCTGGTGGATCCTTACTTCCTTAGATCTTCTGTTAAAACCCTTTGGCAACTTGTCGGGTTCTGTATCTTCTGGAACCATCATGTTCCTTTTTCACTCGATACACCCACTTATTGTGATGTACCTTCTTCCCCATGGGTAACTCGGCTAGTTCCCATATATGGTTGGAGATCAGAAATTTTATTTCTTCTTTCATGGCAAGCTCCCACTTGCTCGCATCTTCACTTTGACAAGCTTCGTCATAGCTTTTAGGCTCTCCTCCATCTGTCAGCAACATATAATTCATGTATCTTCTGTTAGGCACAGGAGGACGAGAAGATCTTCTCAATATCGGAGCTGGTGCATCGGGCTCCTGCGCACCGTTCTGTCCAACAGGCTCTTCTGACTGAGGACCTTCTGCATTGGGTTCTTCCGAGAGGTTACTCTTGACATCATATGCATCTACGAATGTTGACTCGCTCTTTGAGTCATCTGTCTTGTGCATGTCATTGTACATCACCTTCTCGTTGAATATCACATCTCTGCTCCTAGTCACCTTCTTGTTTTCATTGTCCCAAATACGATAGCCGAACTCATCTTACCATAGCCGATGAAAGTGTATTTCTTTAACTTGGGATCAAGCTTATTTCTGACTTGATCACTAATATGCACATAAGCTACATAACCGAAAACTTTGAGATGTGAGAGTTTTACCTCCTTTCCGCACCATACATCCTCTGGTATTTTGTGCTCCAATAGAACCGATGGACATTGGTTGATCAAATAAGCTGTTGTGTTGACTACTTCTGCCCAGAACTGTTTCAGTAGACCTGATTGTATACGGATGCTTCTGGCTCTCCCTGTCAACGTTCGGTTCATCCGCTCAGGTATATCATTTTGCTAAGTCGTGTCGGGCACGGTTATTTCCATTTCGATCTCGTGCTCATAGCAGAACTTCTTGAATCTGGTGTCTTCATACTCACCACCATTGTCTGTTCTAAGTTTTTTTATTTTCAGACCCGTCTCATTCTCGACCATGGCTTTCTATCTCCTGAAAGCCTCAAATACTTCTGACTTATGCTTCAGAAAGTAGACTCACACTTTCCGAGAGTGATCATCGATAAAAGTTACGAAGCAGTGTTTCCTACCAATGGACGCGGTGGTGGTTGTCCCTAAATATCTGAGTGGATGAGCTCAAACTTCTCCTTCCTGTGGTTTCTGCCACTTGTCTGAAAGCTGACTCTATTCTGCTTTCCAAGTATGCATTCTTCACACATGTCCATCTCCACTAATTTTAGACCTGAGAGTTTTTCCTTTGTGTGCATAATTTTCATCTCCTTTTCACTCATATGACTGAGTCTCTGGTGCCACAAATTTGAGGTCTCATTGCCTGCTACAACTGAGATTAAACAACGTGCACCTGCTGTCATATACAGGGTACCAGTCTTCTTTCCTCAGGCAATCATCATTGCGCCCTTCGAAATCCTCCAATCATCACCATGAAAAGTCATAGTGTAGCCTTCACTAGCCCGCTAGCTTAATTAGATTAAGTTCCTTTTCAGGTCGGAAATATGCCTGACCTCCTTCAGCTTCCATACTGACCCATTTAACTTAATCTTCACTACACATTTGCCAATAATGTCACATGGTTGATCATCACCAAGGTATACATTTTCAAGGTTTCAAGGGATATACTTCTTGAGGAATTCTTTCTGAGAAGTAGCATGGAATGATGCTCCAGAGTCCAACACCCAATACTCCTCCTTGCTCTCCAAAGAGCATATCAATGCATCATCTCCTCCTGAGGTGGAAGCAACATTTGCGTCTGCCTTTGCCTCCCACTCCTTCTGTGCACTCTTGCACTGATACTTGTAGTGCCCAGATTTTTCACACTTCCAACACTCGATAGCTTTCGAGCTGCTGGGATTCTTGGATTTGGACCTCCTGTCCTCTGATCTATTTTCTCTGGTTGAATTTCTACCTATTGACTCTGTATGCATTACTGAATAGGTTGTCGCTTCACCCGACTCTCTCCGTCAGATCTCCTCACTGAGAATTAGATCACGAACGTCATCGAACTTCAACTTATTGCTTCTCGGTGAGCTACTCACAGCTGTGACTGTAGCATTCTAGTTTTCTGGTAGGGAAGACAAAAGGACCAACGCTCGTACTTCTTCATCAAACTCAATATCAACTGAACTCGATTGGGTCGTGACTGTATTGAGTTCATTGAGATGATGTGCTACCGATGCACCTTCCGTCATTCGCAAATTGAATAACCGCCTCATCAAATGAACTTTGTTTGAGGCTGATGGTTTCTCATATATATTTGAGAGTGCTGCCATAAGACCCGCCGTGATCTTTTTCTTTGCAATGTTAAAAGCAACATTGCGGATTAATATCAAACAAATAACCCCGAGGGCTTTTCTGTCTAGAAGATTCCAATCTTCTTCCTTCATACCATCCGGCTTCTTCCCTGAAAGAGGTTGATACAGATTTTTCTGATACAGATAATCCTCTATCTGTATTTTTTAAAATCCGAAATCTGATCCATCAAACTTCTCTAATCTCATCTTTCCTTCATCTGCGGCCATCGCTCCCACTTGAATCTGACTTCCTCTAAATTGTTTCAAGCTCTGATACCAATTGTTGGGTAATACTTGGGGCTACGCTGAACCCTTTTAACAGCAAAAGCACGGTATAGAAAAAATACACCAAGATTTACGAGGTTCGGCAAGCTTGCCTACGTTCTCGGGAGCCACACAATTAATTTTTTATAAATCAACAAGAAATTACAATACAAGAGCGGATCTCAAACTTGAGATCTCTTAATAAATACAAATCAATACTGTAGCTACAATATTGATCCCCCTCAAAATTTTGAGAGTTGGGAAAGAACCCTCTCTTTCTTAACTTCCCCCTTTAAATTCCCTTCTTAATCAAATCCTCCTCCCCTCAAATCTTTGAGAGAACGGTAGCTAGAGAAAAAGAAGAGAGCAGAGAGAGAAGGTCGCCGCCGCCAAGGGTTTGAGATCGCCAGAGGAAAGAGAGAAGAAGCAACCCACACTCGTGCTCGGGGTTTCCCTTTTATAGGGAAACCCTAGCGACAGGCTGACGACAGCCTGTCGCTAGAGCTCGCCTGAAT